GAGAAGAGAAGAGAAGAGAAGAGAAGAGAAGAGAAGAGAAGAGAAGAGAAGAGAAGAGAAGAGAAGAGAAGAGAAGAGAAGAGAAGAGAAGAGAAGAGAAGAGAAGAGAAGAGAAGAGAAGAGAAGAGAAGAGAAGAGAAGAGAAGAGAAGAGAAGAGAAGAGAAGAGAAGAGAAGAGAAGAGAAGAGAAGAGAAGAGAAGAGAAGAGAAGAGAAGAGAAGAGAAGAGAAGAGAAGAGAAGAGAAGAGAAGAGAAGAGAAGAGAAGAGAAGAGAAGAGAAGAGAAGAGAAGAGAAGAGAAGAGAAGAGAAGAGAAGAGAAGAGAAGAGAAGAGAAGAGAAGAGAAGAGAAGAGAAGAGAAGAGAAGAGAAGAGAAGAGAAGAGAAGAGAAGAGAAGAGAAGAGAAGAGAAGAGAAGAGAAGAGAAGAGAAGAGAAGAGAAGAGAAGAGAAGAGAAGAGAAGAGAAGAGAAGAGAAGAGAAGAGAAGAGAAGAGAAGAGAAGAGAAGAGAAGAGAAGAGAAGAGAAGAGAAGAGAAGAGAAGAGAAGAGAAGAGAAGAGAAGAGAAGAGAAGAGAAGAGAAGAGAAGAGAAGAGAAGAGAAGAGAAGAGAAGAGAAGAGAAGAGAAGAGAAGAGAAGAGAAGAGAAGAGAAGAGAAGAGAAGAGAAGAGAAGAGAAGAGAAGAGAAGAGAAGAGAAGAGAAGAGAAGAGAAGAGAAGAGAAGAGAAGAGAAGAGAAGAGAAGAGAAGAGAAGAGAAGAGAAGAGAAGAGAAGAGAAGAGAAGAGAAGAGAAGAGAAGAGAAGAGAAGAGAAGAGAAGAGAAGAGAAGAGAAGAGAAGAGAAGAGAAGAGAAGAGAAGAGAAGAGAAGAGAAGAGAAGAGAAGAGAAGAGAAGAGAAGAGAAGAGAAGAGAAGAGAAGAGAAGAGAAGAGAAGAGAAGAGAAGAGAAGAGAAGAGAAGAGAAGAGAAGAGAAGAGAAGAGAAGAGAAGAGAAGAGAAGAGAAGAGAAGAGAAGAGAAGAGAAGAGAAGAGAAGAGAAGAGAAGAGAAGAGAAGAGAAGAGAAGAGAAGAGAAGAGAAGAGAAGAGAAGAGAAGAGAAGAAAAGAAAGAAGATTTTCTAGTGCATCAGTTCTTGGATGGGAGCTCTTGGAGCAGTTCTGGTTTGGTGGGTAGCACAGCAAAGAAACACGCTGAATATCATGCCGAAAATCATTATTACAGCAACAAGGCCAACTGCTCCAATTACGTTCAGTTTCAAATTAAACACATCTTTAGCGGCCCCAGGGCACAACGTTCCAGTAAATGACTGGAGCAAGGCCCTTGTCAGGCAGGTGTCCAAGAAATCAGGCTCCACAGGTCCTACCCCGGCAGCTGAGGGGGAACACCCGCCCGCTCCCTGCCCTTCAGCCCCTCTCGCCGGCCGCAGCCTTCCCACTCCCCTCGCACGGGCCTCCAGCACGGGCCACCTCGGAGGAGCTGGGCAACCCCCAGTCCAGCCCCAGCCAGATATCTGAGAGACCTGGTCAAGCCCCAGGCACGGCAAACACGGTGCGGCTCCAAGCCGGAGGACCCAGGCTCGGATCGGTCCCGTCCCATCAGGCAGTCGGCTCACGTTTTCAAGCTTTCCTCAGCAGCAGTGACTAGGAGCCTTTTCCTCTGGTTTTGAAACAATTTTCCCTTGTCATACGACTCTAGGAGGACAGGAGATGCTGAAATCCAGGATCGCAAGCTCTGAGTGAGGGAACAGCGGCACTGCCGTGGCCTCACCCAGTGTCTGTGCTTGCCCAGAGCAACACGTCTCCCATATGGGATGTCGCTGAGACGACGGGACACAGGTCTGAAGGCCATCAGGATTTTAAATTCAAAATGTTCTTATGCCTCAGTTAAGTGTCTATTAAAAATATTCCAGAGTTTATTTTTTTCCTGTGAAAATTTAGGGGTTTTTTGGTTGAAGTGTGAATCTCCTGAAAGGAATACTGAGGTATTATTTTCTGGCATGACCCGGCAGGTTTTCAACAGCTGAAGAAAGGCAGCACGTGCCAAAGCCCGCTGAACCCCGAGGGATCACCCAGCGAGCCCAGGGTACTTGGCGTTACCGACGCCGACCTCTACAGCTCCTACCAGACCGACTGGCACACGCGACCCCTCTGGGCAGCTGCCTGCCAGCTCTCTCCTCCCACCCTCTGCTCCCACGCAGCAGGTACCGCGAGCGTGACAAGGGCAGGTAACAGCCTGGCTGCGCCCTTCACCCAGAGCTGCGAGGCAAAGCCGACAGGCTTGAACCAAAGTCCTCGCTTTTGGCTTCTTTTGGCCCGCATCCTTCCAGTGCTCTGAAAGTCCTTTTTATCCAGAATCAATGCGGCCCCCAGCCCCCGCCGAGCAGGAAATGCAGCAGGAACTGCCGAGCTGTCGCTTACCCATTAGATGAGATAAAAACACTTCAGTGCGCTCAGATTCTAGTCCAGGCATGGCATTTAATGAATGCTCTTGTCATTTTTCACTTTGTTGCTGGTAATTTGGCTGTCTTAGCGTGCAGGTGGCTTACTACAAGCGGGTGACTAAAAGCCTTTCAGATCTCCTGACCCTGCCACATCCAGCGCCCAAATCTTAGAAACTGAATCCAGTGTCTGAAGCAGCCTGATCGCATCAAAGAAAGCGCAAAAACACCCTCGTGTATCAAACGGCCTCGAATCAGTGGGAAGGGAACCACGCGGACATGGCAGCGGGCGCGCTTTCTGCGAGGCTCGTAGTGCTCCCTGGATTTATTTTGACGTTACACATCAGTCTCAGACTGAGCAACAAAGGGAGAGTGTGAAAGGAGGAGACACGTCTTAGGCGAGAAAATTAAATAAAATTAGTGGCAACATCGATCAGCCGGGTCAGCGCTGCCAACAGAGCAGAAAACAGCCAGCAGAGATGGGCAACACCAGTTCTCTTTAAAAACAGCATGAACTTAAACCCAGCACAGCCTTTGTGTCTTCATTTTACGCTCCCTGGAATAGGTACGGCTGGCTTGGCTCTCTCCTGAGGTACTGACAGCTTTATAGTCAAAGGCTTGTAATTTCTCATTTGATCTCCTCCAGCCTCCCTACCTGGCGTATATTCTCCCAGCAACGTTCAGAGCACTGGTAAAAGGGGCTTTACAATTCCACTAAATGCTTTTTTTTTTATAGCACCTCCAAAGCTGCTCGGAATTTTTTCTTGGTATTACCATTATCTGTGCTTTTCTGTTCTTCCCCAAAATTGTTCAATTTCACAGTTACGTCTGTTAGGCAGAATCAGAAAGCAAGCGTGTATTTTAGGTTGGCAAAACTGAAAATCCTTCTGCCCTCTCCCGTTGTAAGTTACCATAACAGCTTTTGCCTTCAGGAAATTCAGCCAGCTTTCCAATTTCGATTTAAGGGCCCCATTTTGTTCCAAGAGACTTGCAGGCAAATACTACTGTGACAGAGGAATGAGGTGATAGCGATGGGAAAGAATTTGGTGCCTAGGACTTGTTAATTAAAAAGAAATTAACCACAAAGTCTAATCTCAACAGAAATGTAACTTGTTTTGAAACTCCTGTTAAAAAAAAAAAAAAAAAAAGGCAGCACATTAACTTGAAATACGCTGGCGAGATATTTTGTTCTCCTAAATACAGCAAAAACTGAATTGGCCCGCAAAGGTGAAAGTGATCTATTGCCCTCGCTCAGCAGAACAAGAAGGAAACAATAAGCAGAACAAATAAGCAGTCAGATGTTAAATTCTTGCAGTGTTAGAAATTGCAGGATGTCACTAGTACCGCGAGGAGGGTTTAACCCCTTTTCCTGCGCACGCTGACAACTGTCCCGAGAGCAGGAGGTGATCCGTGCCCGTCCTCAGGCCAGAGGGGAACCTGCTCTGAGCGCGCCCCGACTGCTGGCTCCCTGGGACAGGGACTGGGTGACACAGCAGGCCTGCAGCACACCGGGAGGTTTAACTCCATCTGGGCATCTCACCCCCCATCAGAGGAAAGTGCATTCCCCTGCGCTGCCCAGCCCCTCCTTCCTCAGGCACAAGGAAAGGTTTAACTTCTCCCGTGTTCCAGCGTATGTGAATTTACTTCAGAGCCTCCGACAAGCTTTATATAAGCTTATTTGCTGAATTAGCCTAGAAACATTTCTAGGGTACCAAGCAGGGGCGGGTACCTGCTCTACGCTGGCGTAGCCCGGGCACGCAGCCATGGGCAAAACGCAGTTTCTGCTCTCATCCTGCTGGGGAAGATGTATAATAAATACTGCCAAAGGAGTGACCTGGAGCAATTAATGCCTTCCAGGATATGCTGTAATTAGAAGGGAACAGAATCTGCTCTATTTAGAGCCCAGGAGCAAAATTTTCTGTATCACTTTGAGCCTTTCTTCATCTCCGCGCATCAGCTTGCTCCCCTCAGGGGAGGGCAGGCTGGCGGCCGGCGCTCAGCGCTGTTACCGGCCCTGCTCCTTTCCCATCCTGCTGTAAGACGCCCTGCAAGGGCAAGTACAAGTCGTGTTTTCCTTTCCCAGTTTTCACCTGCCCCTGCTGCCTCGTCCCCCGAAGCCGCCCGTTTCCCTCCTGCCCCGCAGCAAACCTCAGCGGGCTCCTGGAGGGCAGAGGAAAACAAAGTGATATTGAATTTAAGGGGCCAGAATAACCTTTAACTGAGCCACCTGGGGCAAGGAAGCAGACCGCTCCTCAGCTGAAAACCCGTGCAGTTTTCCTCCTAGCCCAGGGACAGGGCTCCTGGCTCCAGAGGATACGCAGCCCGGCGCAGCGCTGTCAGCGTGCAGAGGGGTCGTCACGGCCTTCCGTTTGCATGGGGGGCGACTACCGAGCTCCCAGCGAGGAAGGACTGACACCTCTCCTGGATCACTCACATCAGTTAAACTGAGCTTCTCTACAACTTGGAGAAAAAACCCCCTTATCTCTGTGCTGAGCTCAGCAAGTCAGATCCTAAGCAGAGACCAAATGCCCTTCTGCAGGGATGGCAAATCCACAGAAACGTGGATGTCGTGAGGACAGGCAAACCTCAGACCTCCTGAAGCTTTTCACTGGGGCAGAAGGATAAGCCAGCTAAAGCCCGGTAGAGCCAGGAGGTTGGTGACAAGGCGCAGGAGTTTGGGTCTTAGCTCTGCTTGTTTTAGAGGGATGACCCGAGCCCGGAGTGACTGCCAAGCCCTCGCTAGGCAGGAGTTTCTACCCCTTGAGGAGTAACATATCTTCACTGGGAAGAACCCAGAGGTGGTTTGTACCTTTCCTTGCTAAACTGAAAAGCCTAATGGTATCGTCAGAGAAATCTTTAATAGCTGGGATGTGGGTGTCTTCAGAGCAGAGAAGCAGCCTGTACCTGAAGAGGGCCGGTGTCTGTTGGCTCCAAGGAGCCACATGCTGGCTTGTGGGGACTCCTGGCATTCCTACGTATGTGTTTCCATGTGGTTTGATGGGACTGAAGCTCCTCAGCATCGTTTACCCAGCACAGTGACTTTGAGATCTCCCTGAGCACTAGATAACTCAGAGGAGAAGCTTGGCAGCTCCCCCGGGTTCCCCCCACAGCTTCACCTCGCCTTTAGAGGGAAGTGACTTGCAACCCGAGTAGGAAGGAGCACAGCCCCCTTCCAAGGAGCTTCTGCTCTAAAGATGCAGTGCTCGCAGCCCCTCGAGGCTCCTCACATACGTTTAGTTGTGGCTGAGGAGCATGCTGGATGGCTGGAGCCCTTGGCAGACCAGTGCCCCATGATAATGGAGGCATTAAATCAGTCAAGAACTGCAATAAATGCAAAGTACAGCAGAAGCCTGATCCAATTTTGGCTCTGCTTTGTTAAATGGAAAAGTATTTTAGTAGATGGAAAAATACTCGGAAGTTCCGAGTGCCCCCTCCCTGCAGCATGGCGTGAGGGGTGGCTGTCTGCAGAGGCTCACCTGTGTCTGTAGATAAACATCTTTTGTAAACAGATTCCCACTGTCCTCACAGCTCAGCAATCACATGCCGGAACTCAGGTATTCAGGTCAGTCAAGGTCAGCAGGGACAGAGCCATCAGCACCTGAAACGGCCCTCCGGGGTGAGCTGCAGCCGCCTGGGCTCCTCTCGGACAGGGACGTGACACAATCCAACCCAACTCCTACACCTTGAGCACAGCTACGCTGGGAAAGTTCTCGTCAACCAGTTCCCAGCCGGCTCTTCAGTAAACACACAGAAGATGGCTGAGCAGGTTCCAGCCAGGGTCTGGCACGGGACAAAGTAAAACACTGCCAGTCCAGAAACGCGGCATATGCTAATTTTTCTAAGCGGCTTTGACATTAATTTGAGGAAAAATAAATGTATTACTGGAGGTAGAACTTCTCCCACTCCAGGGACATCTGCCATTTGACAAGACTCAGAAACAGCCCCTAACACACTGGACGCGACCCAGCACCTGCAGATAGAGGGTGTTGGTTTATGACCACAATAAAGGCAGAAGCTGTAATATCAAAACTAAACCCTGTCACAGGTAGGAAAGAGCTTGCAGGAAGGGGAGGGGGCTTGTCTCCCCCTTTTCCCCATCACACCCCCTCGTGTGTTAGCTGGTTATCTGCAGGCGCCTCTCCTGCACCCCGAGCAGCACTATGGTGTGTGTGTGTGTGTGTGTGTGTGTGTGTGTGCCCCCAGCATTTGCCAGGACCCACAGTCCCAAGGGGGGAATGACAACTAGAGGGGACACTACCTGGCTCCGCAAAGCTTTGCAGGGAGCACCCTTGTCACCCTGCACCTGAGCCCGGGCACAGCCTGTTGAGGACAAACCTCCCCCCCCAGGATTCTTGCTTTTGGCCCAAGTTGTCAGAGGCTCTGTGCAATTTCCCGATCACAGCAGCAAGAAGCCCGGTGCTCAAGCTTGGCTAAACTCTGGGTTGTCAGGGGAGCAACTCCTCGTTCCACTGGAGAGGTTTGGCTTGCCGCTCGCTCGAGCCCTGCAGTAAAATCCTTGCTCGGTTCAGCCGGAACATGCCCCCTGGCACGGCAGTCCCTGCTTAAAGCAGCATTTGCTTTCACCCCTGTTTGCACCCCTGTCCAGGCCAGACACCTGATGCTGTCAACAGCCAAAACTTGCTCCAGGGAACCTGAAAAGCTCCGTGCCAGTGGGAGGAGGAACATGCCTTCAGACTGGCATTAACACTCCACTGAGCGGCTGATGCCAACATTAGCAAGGGCGCAGCTGCAAGAATTCATCGCTCTGCTGGATGCTGGCAACACAAGGTGGGAGGGCATAACTGCCTTTGTAGTGAGGATTCAGGAGGAGGCAGAGTGAGCAAAGTGACAAACAAGCGACTCCAACACTGGCATCTCTCTGCTGCCGCTGCTCACAGTGTGCCGAGTAAGGTGGGACCAGAGCACAGGAGGCAGGTGGTGTAGGACAACACAGAGGGGTGACTGTCAACAGCCCTGTCCAGCAGCAGGACAAGGAGAGGGGGAAATCAGGAGTCCCACTTCACAGAATCACAGATTGATCCCGGTTGGAAAAGCCCTTGAGGCTCCCCCAGCCCAACCATGACCCTCCCCCTGACCCTTCCCAACTCCCCCAGATCCCTCAGCGCTGGCTCAGCCCTCTGTCACTTCATTCCGTGTCTTCTCTCCTGGTTTGAGGTGACACACTTGGCCGTGTATTTAACCCTTTGCAGGCCGCTACAGGCATAGCAGAGGCTTCGCAAGGTTGCGAGTGTCTCGGAAGCATTTTGTACTTCTCCAGAGCAGCACAAAGCCTCTCTCTCCTCCGGCACCCACCCTTCACCCCCACCATACACAAGTTCAGCTTGTTTCACCCCTGGTTTTGCTCTCTCAGGGCCAGCACTTTCCCCAGCAAGGTCTGTGTGTTCCCACAGCGCCGGGCACGCTCCGTGGCCTCTGGCACCAGGAGGTGAGGTGAGGTGAGGTGCTAACAGCTCCGTGCCCAGCCCCGAGGAACCACCCCGGGCCTCACCCCGCGGCTCCAGGCACCGCAGCTCTGCCATCCCCAGGCACCACCGACCTGGGCACGCACATGCAGGGGGCAAAGGAGTAGCTCAGGCAAGGAAGGCGTGCCAGGAAAGTGTCTCTACGGGCTGCCTGCGGAAAGGCCTGTTAGACAGAGACCCAGTGGGAAGGGAAAAAACCCAGCCAAAACAGTTAAACAAATACACAGGAGGGAGCTGGCAGAGAGAAAAGGCAACACGCGGAGCCAGTTTCAGGCTGAGAGTCATGTGCTAAGGCCGCAGCAGGGCTCAAGCACTGCTAGGTCCGGAGCAGCAACCCGGCAAAGACACACATGCACACACATCACCATGACAAACCCCCGTGTCACCAGGGACACGTCTGCCTGGCCAGCACAGAGCCGCCCCAGCCAGCTTACAAATTGTCTGGAGCAGAGGCAGGAGATGCCTCACCGTCCCCTAACTCTAGCCAGCAGGCAAAGCACATCCACTGCAGACTTCAGCTGTGTCTGGGAGAGGGTTTACTGCTTCTCCCAGACTGGAATTCAAGTGGCAGCCAAGACATGAGATCAAGGTTGTCTAACCCCAGTGGGAACGGAAGGGATGTGGGAGATCTGTGATGGGACAGTCTCCAGGTGATTAAAACATTTACAGGATGGCATCAGTGCTCCAAAAAGCAGGCAAGACAGGGAAGGAGCCAGGGCAGGCAGGCTCTTAGTGGGAAAGGCAGCACTTGTGACACTGTCCTGTAGACAGCGTGTCCTGGTACCTGTCCACGGTGAAGACGTGCAGCGGCTGAGACCCCAGCACGGGCACTTCCTACTATCTTGAAGAGCAAACACGGGATGTATTTGCACCCAAACCCAAGCCCACAAACCGCTCAGCAGCTGGTCCAGCACCCAGGCTGCTCACACTCTTCCTTCCCCCGTCGCTGCAGGAGTTCCCAAAACAGGAAGAAAGGCAGAAGTATTGAAAAAAACATGTATTTAAAATGCACGCAGTAAAATGGCATGTAAGCACTGAGTCCATCCTGTCTCCCCTGAGCACCTCCAGCTCAGGGCTCCTCCACTGCTGCTCTCCAAACCAGCACCATGGGTACTTCACCCTCAACAAATGGGACGAGAGCACTTTGACCCAGCCACAAACTCGCATCCGCTGCCCCTTTACACCCAGCAAGGCAGGGGAAGCCCCTTCCCTAAGGCTTCTAGACACTGCCCAGAATGTACTGAAGGAGCTTTTACTGCCCATAAAGATCATCACTAATATTAGAAATAGTTATGCTTTATTTCAGTTCTCATCTTCCTCTGCAGCCCTCCCTCCCTTGCAGAAACCAAGCACAAGGTCAACCCCCGTGGGCACCTGAGGAAATGTCAAGTGTCAGGCACAAAGGCCCGGGGCTGAGGCTGCCTGGGTCATGGCGAGTTGAAAGCAGTCTCAGTTATCACCCAGTCGCCAGAGATGGGGAAAGAGAATCTCTGAGGGTGCTTACAGTCCAAGGGGCGTGGATAAGGCAAATGCCTTTCCAATGCTCCCACTTGGTCCCTGCTGCAGATGAGCCCCTAACAACTAGCGACAAACAGCAAACATCTATGTGGCCAGCAGACCTCCCCCTGTTGTGCTTAACCCACAAGGCAAAACAGTGAACAAAGCTGCTAAATGGACTTGGCTGGGCATTTAGCTAATTAATTCTGTTCTATTTACAAGGTCTTCAGCAGCTCAGCATTCCCTCAATCCATAAGGCACAAAGTGAGCAAGAGAATGTGCAGCTTAGTCCCTCTGGATCACGATCTCCGCGGTGCCCCTGGAAGGGCTGCAGGGGAAGGTCTCGTCTCACAAACGCTGCTGCAGCCTCAGAACTGCTGGAGAATCAGCTTCCGCTTCACATCCCGGCTGAACCTGTTCATCCTGAACACTTCGCTGTCGTAGAAGGCAGAGAGGTTGTGGATGTTGATCTGCCGGGCCTGGGAGGAGGAGGAGGTAAATGCTTATTTAAAAAAAAAACCCAAAAAATCAGAACCTTGTGGTTTTCCATAGCAGAGGCCGCATAAATGTGTCAGTCAGCAATCTCTGCTCTGCTCAGCAGGAACCAGAACCGCAGCAGCAGGGGAGGCTGCAGGTCAGGAGGGAAGGAGCGCTGGCAGAGCCGAGCTGAGCGAAGGGAGACTGCTGGCTCAGCACCTGCCCGCTCCCAGCTTGTCCTTTTACCTCCGCTAGAGCTAGAACATTACTGTCCAAAAGCCCCTAATACCTCACCCGGTGGGAAACAGCTTAGCAGGAGACCTCTGACTGGGGGGGGTCACACGGGCAGCATCAAGCTGGAAATAGCTACTTGCATATTTGATGCAAGGAGCAGAAAAGCAGCGGCCCAGGAATCAAATACTGCTTTAGAGCAAGCAAGGTCAAGACACAGCGCAGAAAGGCAGAGCCAGGAGCGCAGCCTCTGGACCAGGATACGGATGCACTAAGGAGGAGGAGGGTGAGCCTCAGGGGGGATTGGGAAAGTTCACACAAGCAGAGATTTTTCTGCTCCTTGCTTCTTCGAACGGAGATGCCAGGGAACTTGTGTCCTCGTTCACCTGCAAAGCACCAGCCGCACTGCAGGATTTACCCCTCCAAACCCAAAGCCTTATAAAGCTCAAGAGGAGCAGAGACAGATGGGACAGCCCTGATTCTGGGTTACACTGATTAACACCAATTTTTTTCTGGTACCATACCTCGGGAAGGGAAGTTACAAGTCTGAGAACACCCCTGGTTCAGAGGCTGCAGAGAGCAGGAACCAAACCCAGGGAAGAAGGCTTGTTACGACAGGCCCGTACCTTATCCACCAGGTCCTTCTCTGGGACTTCTATGGCGTCCTGCTGGGCCCCGTAGCGGTTCCGCTGGTACATCACCTGCTCTGCCACCAGCTGCTTCAGGATGAACAGCAGCAGCTCGTTGTTGTCTCTCTTGAATGAGAGGTACCGGGAGAACGTCTGGGAGGGAGGATGAGATGAGCCGAGGTCGTCAGGAACGCAGTGACACCCTGGAGCCTCCTGTGCCCAACACCAGCCCACCCCCCTCCTCCCACTGAGCACAAGGGGAACCAAGTGACAGCGCTGTCACCTGCGCCCTAAACGTCTCTTGAGGGACTTCTGCCTTGCCAAGGCAGCCCTTGGTGGCCATGACACTCTGCTGGCTGCTCTTAGACCCATTAAACACCTCTGAAGGGGCCTCCTCCCCAGCCCTGGAGCTCTGGGGGGCTGGCAGTGCACTGCTGGGGTGGAAGCAGCCACAGGAGGGCTGGCTCTGGGGAAGGTGGGGAGCAGCTTCCCTTAACCCAGACTGTCCTGTGCCTCCACAGCAAATGCTCGCACTTGGCTGGATGTCTGCAGCCAAAGAAAGAGGCCACGAGTCGTCCAGACTGAGGGCAGACACTTGGAGTGGATAAATGCCAGGCTGTGGCCAGCCAAGAGCTCTTTGGAGCCAGCCTCTGCCACTCAGAGAAAAGGGCAGACTGGGCACTAAACCACAGTGAGCGCTGCCCTGGGGTTAACTGTCCCCTGAGGAGCCCCAGAAAAAACGTGAAGAAACTGCCTGCTCGGCTTGATCACCCGGAGGCAGCAGCGGGAGCCCTGTGCCAAACAGCAGGGAAGGCGTAAAAAAAAAAATAAATAGAGAGGTGGCAATGCTTTTGATGCAGAGGCATGGGGCACACTTCCTTCTCATCCCCCCAAAACCACTGCCCCACCTCAGGCTAACGAAGGACAGGGATGCAGCAGCACCTTCAGGCTCCACCTGCAGAGCCTGGGAGAGCCTCGTCCCGCGGGCAGGGCAGGGCAAGGCGGCTGCAGCCACTGCCCCGGCTCGGGCGGCGCTCACCTTGCGCATGCTCCGCATCACGCTGAACTTCTGCGTGTCGACGAAGCTCTCCAGCATCACCCTGATGGCCATGTTGACGTCATCTTCCACCACGTAGTCCCGCAGGTGCATGCGGGCGTGAGCCTCGGCCATGCGGATCATGGACTCGATGTGTCGCACCGTGATGGGGATGCTGCCGGTTGCCTGCGGGGGGAGAGGAGGAGGCAACTCCTTACCGAAGGATAAAAGACATGGGGCGAGACAGGTGGATTCTGGCCCAGGACCCACTTCACAAAGCTGCAGGGAGCTGCTCCTGGACCTCTGAGGAGGCTCTGCACAGGCTGGAGCAGGCTCCCTGCTCAACGTTTTAACTCAGGAGGGTGCGAGGGGACGCTATGTGGGGTCCCTCTTTGCCATTGTTCAGTGCCTTGTTTCCTACAGCAA